TACGGGGGAGGTGCCGATCACAGGACGCGGCAAAGAAGCAGGGCGGCAAACAAGGTTGTGTTTTTTTTTAAAAAAAAAAACTGAAATGTATGCATGCTCCATTGGGTGCTTGTGCGCATCTGTGGAGACTTGGGGGGGGGACCTTTTTGCGAGGGGACATGGGCAGGCGCCGGAACTACCACCGGAAATGCGATCAGACGCCCACCCTTGCCCCGCGGTTTCCGGAAACTAGTACCTCCGAGGTACTAGTTTTTTACCCTGCATCTTCGGTAGGAAGCCTCGGGTGCATCACGGGAGCTCTACGCTTCCCAGATGTGGCGGTGAGATCGTGCCCGGAAAATCCGCCTATCTTCCGTCTCTCTAGTGTGCCTAATGCTCCGTGTGACCGGGGCCACAACTGCTTTTAACTTTAAAAGGGGTAACTTCTCTGAAATGAGGGGACATGTGAGGAGGAAACTGAAAGGAAAAGTAGAAAGGGTCAAAACCATTGGGGAAATTTGGAGACTATTTAAAACTACAATCCTACAAGCTCAGAAAAAATATATACCACAGGTTAGGAAAGGTGTAAATAGGTACAGAAAAAGACCTGCATGGTTAACAAACAAAGGCCTCGTTCACACGGAGAAGTTGCCGCACTAAAGACACGAATGACAGCTGGATTTTCAGTGCGCGATCACACCGCAACATCTGGGAAGTGTAGTGCACCCGTGGCTTCCCGCCGAAGATTCGGAGTAAAAAACTACTGCAGGAAGTGCACTAGTTTCCAGAAACCACGGGGCAGGGGCGGGCGTCTGATCGCGTTTCCGCTTGAATCCCGTGGCATCCGGTGCCCGTCCATGTCCCATCGCAAACCGGATTTTTTTTTTAGTCTCCACAGGATGTGCACAAACGCCCAATGGTGCATGCGCAAATGTCGGTGAGGGAACAAAAATTCCTGTTTGCCACGGAAGCGGCGCCTAGCGATTGCCAGTGTGATCGCATCGCGCCACTTCTTTGCCGCGCTCCAGGATAGCCGTGTGATCGGCACCTAACGGCCTAACCACAGGAACTCGACGGGACGTGTGATCGGGCTGCTGCGCTTTACTTTGCTCTGGGGCAAACAGCCATGCTCCCCCCCCCCCCGTGTTTTCTGGCCTCGTGTGACGGGGGCCAAAGTAATGGAAGTTGTAAAAAGTAAGAAGGATTCCTTTAAGTGATGGAAAACTCAGTGAGTTTGATAAAAGGGAACACAGGCTGTGGCTGGCAATTAAAATGCAAGTCTGTGATCAGGCAGGCAAAATGGGAATATGAGGAGCATATAGCAAAAAAATAAGAACCAACAATAAAACTTTCTTCAGTACATTAGAAGCAGGAAACCAGTGAGGCAGTGGGGCCCTTGGATGACCAAGGGGTTAAAGGAGTACTAAAGGATGATAGGGAAATGGCTGAGAAGCTGAATGCATTTTTTGCCTCTGTCTTTACTGTGGAAGATGAGAACTGGTAGAGACTGACCAAGAGAGAGATCTTGGAGTTATAGTAGATAACTCACTGAAAATGTCAAGACAGTGTGTGACTGCAAGAAAAAAGGCCAACACTATGCTGGGGATTATTAGGAAGGGAATTGAAAACAAATCAGACAGTATCATAATGCCCCTGTATAAATTGATGTTGTGACCTCATTTGGAATACTGTGTACAGTTCTGGTCACCACACCTCAAAAAGGATATTATAGCATTGGAAAAAGTGCAGAAAAGGGCAACTAGAATGATAAAAGGGTTGGAACACGTTCCCTATGAAGAAAGGTTAAAACACTTGGGGCTCTTTCGCTTGGAGAAACGACGGCTGAGGGGTGACATGATCGAGGTTTACAAGATTGTGCATGGGATAGAGCAGGTAGAGAAAGAAGTCCTTTTCTCCCTTTCTCATAATACAAGAACTTGTGGGCCCTCCATGAAATTGCTGAACAGTCGGGTTAGAACAGATAAAAGGAAGTACTTCTTCACCCAAAGAGTGATTAACACATGGAATTCACTGCCACAGGAGGTGGTGGCGGCTACAAGCATGGATGGCTTCAAGGGGAAATTAGATAAACATATGGAGCAGAAGTTCCTCATAGGCTATTAGTCACAAGGTATAGATAGGAACTCTCAGTCTGGGGCAAGTGATGCTCTGTGTTCTTGGTGCTTGGGGGGGGGGCAACAGTGGGAGGGTTTTTTGTGTCCTGGCCCCACTGCTGGACCTCCTGATGGCACCTGGTATTTTTGGCCACTGTGTGACAAAGTGTTGGACCGGATGGACCTTTGGCCTGATCCAAAAGAAACATTGCACATGTATATTTATGTTTGCATGGAACCTTCAGAGATTCAGTGTGATCAAATAGCAGAGTGGAAACTTCATCCTACATTGTTAGTTTAGTTCAGCAACCTAGAAAAATAGTTGAAAGAAAAATATCATTCCATCTGCCTCCTTGACCTCTCTTTCCTGATCTCCAGCCCTGACTCTTAATTTGCCAGAATCAATTACTATCTTCATTTCATAGGCTTCTTCCACAAAACAGACTCAGTGCAATAGTAAATGAAAAATTAGTAATTCAGCAAGGTATTCATAGCATCCACTCTGTTTGATACTCCAGAATCTCTCCGCTGTCTGCCAACTGCCTTTAAATATTATATCTTATCCCTGCATTTCTTAAAAGCATGCTCTCTAGTTGTTTAGAAAAACTGCATTAATTTAAGATTACATAAAAAATGGTCCTAAGCCCTCCCATTGAGATATAGATGAGGATGGGACAGAGATGTCTTTTGAGTAACATTTCAGTACTTCTGGGCAATCTCTGTGTTCTTACTGGATATGAGATCTTCGGGGGGGGGGTTAAAAAAAAGAATGTCAAGCCCTCATGGTTACAGAGATGAGCTTGATGACACTATTCTAGATACAAAGTGATAAGAAGAGTTTTCGTCTTTTGAAAAGGACAATTTGCTATGGTTTCCATCAACTGACATTAATTTTAAAAATGTCAAGAGGCTGGTCAAGCTTTAAGTTTGGGGTTTTTTTTTTAATTGAAGTTTATTTATTCATTTATACCCTGCCTTTCTGCCCATTTATACCCTGCCTTTCTCCTCTTCTCCATTTTACCATCACAATATTCCTACGAGGTAGGTTAGACTCTGTTACCCAGAAAGCTTCCATATCAAAATGGGGGTTTATACCGGAATCTCCCAGATTCCAGACTAACCATTATACCATCCTGGATCTGTAACAGTTAGGTTACAGTTTAAGTCACAATTAAGGTTGATTTAGTTCCAAATATAAATATCAAAGGATATTTGAACCAACTTTGTCCAGTTATCTGTAGACAGAATATGGAGATGGCTATTATGAGTCTTTTGGAGCCAAACAAGTTGTCCATGCAATGTAAGTTCTCAGATAGAGGAACAGGCTACCTATCTGAAGTGTAAGTTGGACAGGGGCTTTAGTAGTAGTAGTAGTAGTAGTAGTAGTAGTAGTATACTTTATTGTCATTGTACATTGTACATAGTGTGATTGAATTTATTTAATCCTGGTTCTTGGGTTTAATGAGATAGGTTTATTAGATAGTTGATCAAGCCACTCTCCCCCTGACTACTTTCCATGTAAACCTGGTGGTTTCTTAGTTCATTCCGTCACTTGTAGAATGTAGGCAAGTTGTCATGAACAGCAAAGTTCTGTGCCTGCCACTGGGGAGTCTGCCTGTGCAGGATCCCATAGGATTTCAGTACTTAATCTAGCAAGAGTCATTACCCATCTGTATTGAGATGTCAGCAAAGTACATGGCAACAATTTTTGTATGTTTCTTTGGCTCCAACAATCTTGTGCAACTGTGGGAAGCTGCATTAAAAATGAAGGTCATGCACGGACTCCCTAGAGTCACTTAGAACTTTACTTTCCCATCAGTGAAATGTAAGGATGTTACCAAATTTCCTGACAAACTCCAGTTCAGTCTGAAATTTCATGTTTCTTTTCTTCTCCATACTCGGAGCATAGCTGCAGTTGTCCCTTCCATCTTCTACATTGGACAAACAGGCCAGTCCCTTCGAAAAAGAATTAATGGACATAAGACTGACATCAGAAACCACAACATTCAAAAACTAGGGGGGAGGACATTTTAACCTTTCAGGACATTCAGTTGCTGACCTAAAAGTAGCAGTTATCTTACAAAAGAATTTCAAAGGGAGATTAGAAAGAGAAACTGCTGAATTGCAACTGATAATGAAGCTCAAGACAATGCATTCACCTGGACTGAATCAAAACCTAGGTTTCCTGTCTCATAACGAATGCTGATTTCTCCATGCCTACTACCTCTCTGCATATCACACCTAATCCAATCACACCTGCTACTGTCATTTGCCTGCTAATGTCATTTGGCATCTGAAATCACTCCACTTTCCAGTATATAGGACAGATAGACTCCCATTCCAGCCGTATCTGAAGAAGTGAGCAGTGACTCACGTAAGCTCGTACCGTGCCATAAAGTTTGTTAGTCTTTAAGGGGCTACTGGACTCTTGCTGTTTTCTACTGCTACAGACAGACTTAACACAGCTACCCATCTTGATCTGTATCCATGGTAGAAACAGTCAGGAAGCAAAATAAATGTGGCAAATTCTTATTCTCTCTTCCCTATTCCGTCCCTTCATGACAATACTGGCTAGCTAAAAAAAAAGTTGAAACCCTGTTTCTGAAGCCAACAACATATAGCCTTGGTCTATATTAAAAAGGCCTTGTTCTGGTCGAATGTCCAAGTATTCCTTTAGGGAAAGCAACCTGATCTGTGTCTTTCTATATCCATCCACACTCACACATATATAACTTTGGTCTTTGGAATACATTTGAGTCCTTCCTTGGCGAACAAAATTAATGCTAATTAAAGATTCATGTGATGCAATTAGCATTAAAATGCAATTGAATTATGGATACCTGGACCAGGAATAGAAAATGGAATTATTTCCCTGCCTGTCTTTATATCCGATGTTTTGTTTTTCAGCAAACAGAGGAAGCGGAGCTGCAGGAAGTTCACAGACAGGCGATGCACTGGGGAAAGCACTTGCATCTGTAAGGAAATCTTTGCTTTGAGATCCCCTTTTGTCGCGTGAACCTGAGTCAGAATCCGTTACCAAATATTTAAGTAGATTTATTCTAACTGGGAGTCGTGGAATAACAGAAGCGTTGCCATACGGTTAAAAGAAGCTCTCTGGAAAATGTTGATAATTTGGGGTGAATTGTTGGTTTGGAGCCATGCCTCTCGGTTTTCCATTCTCTTGACTCCTTTTGAAATGGATTACTCCTTCACAGAATTAGTTCTGGGGAGTTTCTGGATACTGCTTCCATTTGGAACACAGGTTAGATTCTTAAAGGTTTGCATCTCTGGAATATGAGGGCACGTCTGCAGTACAAGAATAAACCCAATCTAAAACCAGTCTCTGTGCGGTTTCTTCATCCAAGAAACATTGGGCATTTGAGAGTGTGGTGAGCGTTCTCTTAGGAAACCCTGTCTTCTTCCTCAGAACTGTGGTCCCAAGGTTCCTTGGAAGAAGTCGTGACGGTTTTCAGAGCAGGCCTACCCTTCAAGTTGGGAGCTGTAACGCTTGTGTCTGTCACAGAGACTGGATGGGCTGTGTCCAGAACTTTCCAAAACAAATCCTGTCTTCAAACCCAAGACCATGGTCTTAAAATCACAGAAACCCAGAGAAAAGGATTCGTCAAGACAGGGTTTGACTTTCAGTTGTGTGTTTTCCTTCTTATCCTCAAGGGTTCTTTAGACATTACCCTAGTTCTGTGTGAGCTGCTTTTCAGCAAGTGTCTTCTCCGTGACTGGGATAATTGTTAATAGACTGAACTATGTGGTTGGAGTCTCATCATGAGAGTCTTTTCCTATGGAGCTGGCATCCCATGCAGTCTCAGGTTGCTGATTCTGTTCTTGGGATTGGAATAAGTAGTTTTCACCCACATGGTTTGGGGGTCATTTAACCACTATCCCATCTATATCAGAGCTGCTCGTGAACAAGAAGGTGCCACTCAGCTGGGGTAACATTTAAAGATTCCCTTTGTGTACGTCTTTGCAGTGGTTAGTATTTAAAAGTCAGTGTTTATGCCAGTTTGCCATGCCACTGTTATCAGTTTTTTGTCCCAAGCCCAATACTTTGTTTGAAACACTGAGGCAAATTTGGATGCATGCTGACTTTTTAAAGAAGAACCACTGTGAATTTATTTTCTGGGCAGAGTGGGTTCCACTGAGTTCTCATGAGAATTGGCATTATCTGTGTCCGACTAATAAATGCGATAGAAAGACAAAAAAATAGCTCAATTCCCATACAGTGTATACAGTACAAAACCTATTTTAAGTGGCCCCGAGGCATTGATTAACAGGGGAGATGATCAGGCAGTAAATTAATTTAATTGCCTGTGTGGGATTCAAAGGAACGGCTCTTACATTCAGCGCCAGCAGTAGCTTATATGAGTTCCCAGCATGTTTCCCATTACTTGATAATTGTTTGATGTGATAAGAGTCATTGATCTGTGATTCAGGTGGGTAGCCGTGTTGGTCTGATGTTAAACATGTGCTAACTGATAACAGCAGTTTCACCTGACCGGGATACTGAGTAGTGTGTACTCAAACCTATGCAGGCAGAACTTGTGCTTAGAAACCACATGGTACCAGACCTCATCGCAACTGGCATAGTATCTAAAGCTTGTTAGTAAACACTGAGCTTTCATGCCCCCTTTTCTAAAGTTCTTAACTCTGTTTGAATTGTCCAAGGAATCAAACTGGAAACAGACTCATTCTTTGAAATCGCGCCTCCCCCCCAAAAAAAAAAAATATTTACATGTAAAGCGTCATGTGAAATTCATTCCGGCCACAACGCAATTTGTAAGAATGATTAAGACTCTAATAAAAATAAGGGAGGGGGAGTATGCCCATTAGCCAAGTCCCATCATGACAGCTATCTGTTGCTTCAGAATGAGTTTGTCATGCTGTTTTGGCCATTTATAGCTTGTGTACTGAGGTAATATTTACGAGGAAACAGAGTTCTTAGTCTTCCCTAATGAACAGATGTGCCATAGCTCTGTCTACATCCATACATGAATGGCTTTAGATTAATTCTTTATCATCTTTTAAAGATCTACTCTCCAGACCACACCAACAACAGCTTTTCATCAAATCCTTCAACTCCCGTTGGTTCTCCCCCTTCTCTCTCAGGTATTGTGGTTAAAATTCTATTTTACTGAACATTTCAACATTACAAAAAGTGGGAGAGGCTTAAATATACTCCTACTGTACAGGGCAGCCCATCAGACACAGCATCAGACTGTCATCATATTAATAAAGGCTGGATTTTGTGCTCATTTAGATCAATGGAAATGCATTTGAAGCCATTTTGCCTTGTTTTGTGAATCCTAGTTTTTTTCTAGCTATCTTCATTAGGCTAGCAATTGTACCGTTTGCTTCAGTTATTGCAGGAAAATTGCAGGAGAGCCTTAACGTGCTCATGTGAATTGATCCTAATGATTTTAACAGGGCAAACGTTCTCACATGGAGATTGCTAGTAACATCTAGCATAAGCATTCTAAGAGAGAGAAAGAGAGAGAAAGAGGTTGGGCTAGAAAGTACAAAACCATACCAAGCTTACGGAGTCAGATGTGAATTCTTCTACAGTCTTATCAATTTGCTTATCACCCATTTTTCTTCTAGTTAGTCTGTTCTTAAATGGTTTATCAGCCAGACAAAGCATAGCCTGGCTTGAGGAAGCGCTGATGATGAAGAAACCAACTATTACCTAAGAATTTGGACTATTCCATTAAAGAATTTGGACCATTCCATACATTGACATTTGTTACATGGTGACACAGGTGATAGTGGAGGTGTACAGGAGAGAGAAAGAGACCTTTTCTAAGAAGCACAAACCAGCCAAGTAATAATATTCTCACTAGGTTCACCTTTTCTTTTTCTTTCAAAAACCCATTCTTTTGCAAGGAAGATATAGCTATGGCAAACCATGCACAGATGATACTGGAAGTGCTCATTCTTTTCCCAGACTGTTAACGATTGAATATGTTCTGTAGACAGGACCTAGTAAGAGCAAGCTCATAGCTACAGTGGGGCATTTCGGGGTCCCGCCCCCATAATTAAAAGCCCTGCCCCACCAATAGCCTTGAAAGAGAGGGCTAGAAACAGGTTTGGAGCATCCCCCTTTAAAGACAGACATTCAGATTAATTTAATTAACTGTAATTTAACTGCCTTTTTAAAAATGTAAATACTCCCCAAACAAACAAACATGGCTACGGGCCTGAGTAAGAGTTATTGGGATTAGCGGTGAGCCATAACTTTCTCTACACCACCTTCCCAATGCAAAATTGCCACCAGTACTCTCGGCAGTTCTGTTTATCTGTTTTATTTTGCTCCTCCTCCTAGGAATTTGGGGCAGCATATGTGCTTCTCCTGTCCCTCATCTTGTCCTCATCTCAACCTGATGAGGTAACTAAGGCTGAAAGAGATTAATTGGGCCGTGGTCACCAAATTTAATCTAACATGGCATTTTGCTTTTACCTGTAGTCTGAACGTTCTTCTTGACAGCTATATTGTAGAAGGCCTACAAGGCAGTGGTGACATCCAAGATCTCCAGATTATTAAGACTCGTAGGCACAATCCCCAAAAGGGAGAGTTTCCAAAACAACATTTGATCCCTGTGTGTTCATTGTGACTTTATTAGAAAACTGATACATTATACCATTAACTCTTTTTGTGCTTCACCCTTTTAACAAGGAGGGTTTCTTTAAAGCTTGGTTTCACACAGATAAAAAGAAATCCCTTTTAATCTTAGCTTTTCTGTATGTAGTACTTTATTTTGAGAGACAATGACCTCAGACTCTGAAAACATGAATTGGCACACTTCACCAGGAAACTTTCCTTCAGTTGGTCCGTTAAAATGAGTAAGATTTTTTTAAAGCAAGGTATCTTGAGTTCTCTTAAACTAGTTAATACTTGATTAAAATTAATCTGACTTGTACGTTCAGTGATTTAGTGGCACAGTTCAGTTGTAACACCAAACTATGGTTTGCTGTTTATGAGAATGATCACTCACATGATCCACTCCCCTCACCCTCTTACACTGGCAAGACAATGACCGATTCCATACAAGCAGCTGTGCTGCCATTGCTCTTCCGTTTCCCCCGGTTGTATTGGTCAATTTCACACTATTCACTGTGTGGCCACATTTTGACCCGAGTCCCCCCCCCCATTTCCGCCGCATCTTCTTGATCCTCAAAAAACAGGATCAAGAAGATTGTCACGACAGGGCCAGCGGGGCAAGGCAGAGAGGGGGAGTTCACAGTCCAGTCCGAGAGTCAAGCCAGAGAGAGGGCAAAATAACCCGAGCAAAAGTCCCAATACACAAAGCCAAGCCGTAGTCAGAGCGTTACCGAGCGTCAGAGTCCAGATAAGCAAGCATCGAAGTCGGGATGCAGAGCCGAGGATCAAGAGCCAGGGGGTTGTCAAAACGCGGACTGGAGTCAGGAACCAGGAAGTCAGTCAGTAGCCGGATAACAGGAACAGAATCAGAGGTGCAGAGCTTCTGGTCTGAAGGATGAGTTTGCCAGTACAATTAGCCAACAGTCAGTGACCTATTCAAATAGCTCGCTGGGTTGTTAATTCATTAGTGCCTCATTAGCACTGGCTCGCGAAGTCCTTGATCCTGCTAGAACTCCGGGCTTATTGATCTCCAGCGCAAGCATGCCTCTTTGCATCTGGTTGCCAATTCCTGGCGTCTCCGATCCCTCAGCCGGTCGACAGGTGGCGGAGAATCGGGTGGCGTGCTGCTGGGGCCAGGCATCACCTGATCGGTTTCAGGTGCAGGCTGTTCTGGAGGCTGGTGCTCATTCTCTTCGGCACCTTGTGTTGGCAAGGACTCCCATGCCTCCAATGGTGTTAAAGGCACGGAGTCCTCAGTTTCAGATCTCCCAGGCGCAGGGTCGGGGACAGGCATGACAAAGATGCAGGAGAAATTGGGGGGAGATGCGGATCAAAATGCGCCCATGCAGCAAATAGTGTGAAATTGACCAATACGACTGGGGGAAACAGAAGAGCAATGGGGGCACAGCTGCTTGTGGGGAATCGGTCAATGTGTTACTTCCACTTTTGCAGTAAACCACAGTTTGCTTTTGTATCCAGTCATAAATTGCAGGCTTCAGGGAAAGCACAAACCATAGTTTTCTGCCAAAGTGAAAGTAACTACATTAACTTTGCCATGCAAAAGAAAAGGAAAGGGGAGAGGGAAGCAAGAATTATGACAGCAAGGTTGAAATGCCTTTAAGGCTCTATGTCATAGGAAAACAGTGTTTACCATTACAACTGAACCATCAGTGGTATGATCAGTGAGCGCTGATTATGTCCTGTTATGGCTAGAATTATCATGTATTTAGCAGTTTCCTTGGTGCTTTCCTTAAAAAGTTGTTATTTCCATTAGTGATACATCTCTTTCTGCTGAAGATAGTTTCAGAGGGTAGCCCTGTTGGTCTGCAGTAGAGCAAATGGATTAGAGTCCAGTAGCGTCATAGAGACCAATCTCAAAAGCTCATACCCCAAAAATCTTTTGGTCTCAAAGGCGCTACCAGATTCAGAGCTAGCTGCCCTTTCTCATTTAGCTTTTATTTGGTACAACTGCTAGAGCAGCAGAGCCTTCTGTGTTATAAACCAGTCTTGGAGACTCATGTGCTTGGTGTCAATGGTGCCAATATCAATGTGTGTTTGTGTGTGTAAAATAAATGTATGCTTAAGAAGTTCTCTGTGAATCCGCTCTGCGTCTATCTGGGAAATGGCATTAACATGTCTACAATGCTATCCAAGATGTTTGAAAAGGCATTTTGTTTGCATAGTTCCAATGGTAACTCCCATTTTACTGTTAGCAGGCACAGCTGTTTGGTCTAGAAATGGAGGGCAAGCATCATCATCTCCCAATTATGAAGGTCCCTTACACTCTTTGGTATGTTTTTGACCGGTGACCTCCTCAATGTCAGTATTTACTTGCTATCTACTTTTTCCTTTGTCATGCAGGTCTTCTTTTTTAGAGGTTACAACATCCTCAGATTATTTTTTTTCCCAAAAAAACACTATTTAATTTTCAATGTTGGTAGTACGGAGACCCACCCATGAGATTTTTTTTAGCTAGAATTTTCCTGTACAATAGTTTACAATAGTATATGACTAATAGTAACCATTGATGCAGGGGTGTCAAACTCATTTGTTATGAGGGCCGGATCTGACATAAATGAGACCTTGTTGGGCTGGGCCATGTGTGTCATAAAATGTAATGCCAGGTAGCGGAGATATAAACTTTATAAAGGACACAAACACAAAGATTTTTTTTAACTTAAAACAAAAACGTGCTTAAAACATTAGCTCTTTAAGCTGCAAACCTACTTTTGATTTACTGACATTCACCACAGAAATCTCATGCTCAGAGTTCTGAGTGTAGGACCCAGGTTAAAACATGAAATGGCTGAGTGATTAAGAGAGTATGGCGAAGCAAGCTATGATGCAGCAGCAGCAGACCTGGAAGCAGGAGATGGCCAGTTCCACTACGGGCCTGATGGGGGACTGATCCGGCCCCCAGGCCGCACGTTTGACGCCCCTGCATTAATGCATTTAAATGTACTGTCAGAAATGGAGAATTAGATACAAAACATCGTATCTGGAGAACAGATTAATGCTATATAGAACAGAATGCATTGTGTGTTAGGATTGTGCTGGTTTAAGACAGTGCAATCAGTAAATTAAAAGAAATTTAAGTTTAAAGAAATGGTGGTATATTTATTTAAAAGCATGAAATGAGAAGCTATCCTGGTAAACTGCCAGGAAACCCTCATGTGAGTTTCTGGAAGGTATAAAATCATCTCACAAACAAGAACAAATGCATCTTAACAGAAGAAAGCACATGATTTCTGAGTACTCTTAAGAATGACCACATAGTGCTGAATCATGCAAAACTTGCAGTCAGCTTCACTGCTATTTTTGCTTGTCTCAGGAATAATTATGGTCTACAGCACCAGGCCAGTGACAGATGTGATGCCACTATCGTGAGGCAGTGTCCGATAATTATTATGCTGCTGCATAGAATTAGTGGTTACATGCTTCATCTAGCTCAAGATGAATTCTCATGACCACCTTCTATCACTTTGTTTTTTGGGTTTTTTGGAGGGTTTTTTCTAATGGCCAATGATACAGTGGAGTTTGGGGGAGAGAAACATGGCGACTACTTCATGGGTAGCTCCAATTTTTATTGAACTCCTTCATCTGCACCTGCCGAGCAAGTCTAAAAAAGTTGCCACATGTAAAGAATGTGGCTTTCAGGGCATGTTGAGGTGACTAATCTCACCACAAGGTGATTGCCAGGCAAGTCCTAATAAGGGAGAAGGAATATGAATATTAGATCTCAGAAATGTCTTTTAGCTTTTTTTATATTAGTGACAGGATTCTGGACATGATCTCTTCATCACAGATGTCATGGAAGAACCAGATACAGATAAAGGGGATTAGATAGATTCATGGAAGATAAGTCCATCGATCTCTACTAGCTATGGTGACTGAGGGGAACCTCTGAATCCCAGAGCCAGGAGGCAACCTCAGGGGAACGCCTCGGCCTCAATGCCCTGTTGTTGGCCCTCCAGAGGAATTGGTTGGCCACGGTGTGAGACAGGCCGCTGGCCTAGATGGACCACTGGTCTGATCCAGCAGGGCTCTTCTTATGTTCTTATGACATCCAAAATCAGACCTTGTCTGATCACGTAGAAGTTTTAAGTGGGTCAGAACCAAAGAAAGAACCATTGAACTAGTACCTAAGGGTTCTTTGAACTTGTTTTCTTGAACAGATAGTCCTACAAACTATTCTGTATGGTAAAAGACTTTTGAAATTTAGGGGAGTTCAAAAGGATGAAGAAGTCAGAAATGCTGGATGTTTTGAAGCTCCTGGACACGTGTAAGATTGTTTGCACCAGATTCTCTGTCCTCCAGCAGCAAACTATTTGAAGTGACTATATGAATACTAGGGTTGCCAGGTCAAATTTTGTCCCCGGTAGGGGACTTTGGGGGGCATTCGTGGAGGAGGCAGGGCATCCCCAGTGCAATGATGTCACGTTGGGGATGTCCCTGCTCCAAGCTCCACCCCCAAGAACAACCGCCGTCGGCCACCCCTCTCCCTAACCCCCTGCAAGATTTAAAGGGCCCTCTGATAAGGTAGAGGGCCCTTTAAAGCTTGCAAGAGGGGAGGGAGAGAGGTGGCCGCTGACAATTGTTCTTGGGAACGGGGCAATGCTGCTTGGAGTTCAGGCACATGGGGGGCAGTCCCCGCCGGCTGGGAACCCTTAAAGGACCCTTTAGGTGCTTCCAGCCAGCGGGGCCCCACGTGCCTGGTCTCCAAGCAGATTGCTGCTTGGAGACCGGCCGCGCAGGGCCAGGCCAGTCCCCACTGGCTGGAAGCACTTAAAGGGACACTTTAAGTGCTTCCAGCCAGTGGGGCCCCGTGCGCCTGATCTCCAAGTGGCATTGCCAGGCCAGTCCCCACCTGCTGCAAGTACTTAAAGGGTCCATTTAAGTGCTAGCAGCTGGCAGGGCCCCATGTGCCCGGTCTCCAAGTGGCAATGTCACTTGGAGATCGGGTTCATGGGGCCGGGCCAGTCCCCGCCAGCTGCAAGCACTTAAAGGGACCCTTTAAGTGCATCCAGCACGTGGGGCCCTGCGCACCCACATCCACCCCTCTCCCCTCTGCGGAATTTAAAGGGTCCTCCAGCTGTCAGCTGGAGGGCCCTTTAAATCTCTCAAGAGAAGGGAAAGAGAGGGGTGCCTGTGGGTGTTCGGGCTTGGGAGTGGGACTTCCCCACCGGCCAGCTCGCTAGCGGCGGGTTGAAGCCCAAAAAAGCTGGTGAACCCCTGCCCGGCCTGGGGTTCTGGCAGCCCTAATGAATACCCAACCAGTTCCCTCTAACTGCAGTAAAGATAACCTGATTGACTTTGGAAGCGTCCTTGGAGAATAATAGTAGAACAGATAGGTGGCACCAGTTAGGCCAAGTAAGCGCTTTTGGCATAGTTTATTTTCGTCGCCATACCCATTTCTATTTCTTTTTGATGTGAGGTAGGTCAGTGAAGCAGACATGCCATTTCTTCACAACCAATACCCCTGCCCTTTTTCACTTCAAACAGTGGGAAAATACAGCAGTAACAAGAAGATTGTTTGAGAATTTGTTTGTTCTGTGGACAAGGCCGAATTACACAATTTATCGCAAGGGGTGTGTGTTTTCTATGTAATGCTAGCTGTGTGACACTTAAGGTTTGTTTATGAGAAGTGAACCTGTTTTACTTGAGTTTAATCCTTTGAAAGCTGTTTGGGTACATGTTCTGCAGGGAACGAGGCAGTAACTGGAATGGAATAGTGGTCTAAGATACGCTTTTCTCATTCTTTTCCTTTGATTGAGTGGAAATAACAGGCCTGAACCAAGCTTGCTAAAGGCCTCCGTGCACAACATGCTGTTGCTTTCCCTTGACTGTAATAGGGTCTACTCATGTGTAAAAGAGTTCTGGATTACAACAACATGTATCTAACTATCTTTCAAAATCTTCATGGCAATTAGGTATTTCTAACTTATACAAAATGCTTGAAAAATCAGAGGGCTGTATACTGCAGTGGCTATATTCATGAGGAGTCAATGGACCTGTTTTGCCCATGAAAATGAAGCTGTCTTTTTATGAACCAAACTTCCTTGGGTTCCCTAGAGGGAATAGTGTCATTGTTTTCTGCGAGGTGAAAACAAAATAAGTTGAGCTGTGTTCAAAATGTAAATACAAATTAGGACATACCTCACCTGTGCTCCGCAATACCACCACCAACCTTCCCTCCTCCACTTCAAGTTAGCAGTTAAAGGCACACACACAAAAAAGTACAATACTTAATCTCTGTGAATTTTGTCTCAGACGTTCATGACTTGCACATTTGCTGATGCTTCTCTTGATTTGTTTTTCATAAACAAACAGCAAAGCCGGATCGAAGACCGCTTGGAAAGACTGGATGACGCTATTCATGTTCTCCGGAACCATGCAGTGGGGCCTTCAACTGCCATGCCCGGTAGTCATAGCGACATGCATGGTTTAATAGGACCCTCTCATAATGGAGCAATGGGAGGTCTTGGATCAGGATATGGGACAGGCCTTCTTTCAGCCAATAGGCATTCGCTAATGGTAAGCTATAAAGATTAAACACTTCTCTTTTTAAAAATAAAAAGGTAACAAGAATAAACTAATTAAAATTTGTGAACTGTTTATTTCCCCCCAGCTTTTTAGTTTGGTCATATTTAATCAAACTATTTATTTATTTATTTATTTATTTATTTACGGCCAAAGTAGGCTTATACTGTTCATAAAGTAAGTTGCTTTTATAGCATACTCCCTTCTACAGAAAAAATGTAATTAGCTCTCTGAGTTTTATGTTGCCGTATATTGTTTTTGTGTTGTGTATATTTGTGACTGTAGAACCTACATTCTGGGAGTGGTTTCTGTTTGTGTTCTTTATGCATAGTGGGCAAAAGGCAGCTGTATTCACAAATCAGCCTTCACTAAAAGCCTGTTGATACCATGAGCCTTTTGGCTGGTAAATGGCTAGAGTTAAGAAATATTAATTCTTGAAAAGCACTTAAGAGATTAGATTTTGAGCTATGCCAGTTTGGTATTGTGGTTAAGAGCAGCGGACTCTAATCTGGAGAACCGGGTTTGATTCCCCACTCCTCCACAAGAAGCCAGCTGGGTGACTTTGGGTCAGTCACAGTTCTCTGATCTTTTGCAGCCCCACCTACCTCACAGGGTGTCTGTTGTGGGGAGAGGAAGGGAAGGCGAATAACGGGAAAAGAAAACTGCCAATGGTGATGATGTGATGTCACTTCCAGGAAGACCTGAAAAGGATGTCAGCCTCCTCTAGGAATTCAAGAAACTCCCTGCTTTTAACATAGCGTTTTTGCTGATTCTTGGAGAGGTGTGACATCATTTCAGGATTCTTCCCATGTTTCCCTCCCCTGTATTTCCACCAATGGCTGGATACTCCAATCCAATTTGGGATGAACATTAGAACACTGTTGCATTCCGACTCTTCATGTAGCATTAAAGTTTCTATGTTTGTGTATAGAATATTGTTTATATTCTTTTTTTTTATGGCTCAAAACAGAACAGATGATCTTGAAACGAGTAGTCTTAAAACAGAATAACTAGTTAATGTACGAAACTACTTCCATGTTGGTCCTAACAGTTTCAGTGACTAAAATTTTTGTTTTGTGATTGCAAGCTGCTTTGATAATCAGGGCCTCCGACCCTTCTGAAGGGAAGCTCTTCAGAAAGCATCCCCCCCCCATTAAGGAGCACTGCGACTTTTTTACTCTTTTAGAATGTTTTCAAAAGTAGAGCAACAATTTGTCGATAAGTAGTCAAAGCGCTTCTTTTTTTATCACCATAATCCACAGAAAAACTTTGTAGGGTAGGCCAGCGTTAGTATCCCTATACTGCAGATTGGTGATATCAGGCTGAAAGACCTTTGTAGGGCCTCTCCCCCTGGATTCAGAGCTGAACAGTGATTTGAACTTGGGGCTTCCAGCTGATATTTCAGACTCTAATCACAACGTTTTCAGTAGCTTTCAACATGCAGAATAAGCAGAAGATGACAAAGGAATTGCTGGAATATATTTGTCAAAGAAGCATCCTCTTTGGAGCATAAAACCTGATGCTTTCCGGTGCCAATCCAGATGGATGGGCCATGCACAGGGAACAACAGGGAGAATACCCTGATCTACAAGAGGTTGGATTTCAAGGTTCACACATCACTGCTTTCCCCAATAGTTAACAGCTGTAGAGGCAGCTTGCTAGGAACAAACAGTGCAGTCCTGAATTACTCTGATCCAAGCCCTCTGAAATCAGTGGGCTTAGGCTAGAGTAAGTTTATGTAAGATTGCATTTTTAAGAGTGCCCCTCAGAAAAGAGTAACACCCTTCTAAATCCACTGAAGTCAATAGGCTTAGAAGGGTGTAACTACTTGGGATAAGACTTTCAGCCTGGTTTCTCCAACCCTTTCCCTGATATCCTTTCTCACTGAAGTATTTCTACATCAGAGCTACTTTCAGTCATGTTGCTTTCATTAAAATTACTATTTTCTGTATCGTGTTTGTACTCAAATTTTATTTGAGACCATCAGGGGTTGTGTATGGGAGCCCTTTTAAGGGTTTATAAGGAAGGCAGAACACTTCAGCGTATAAAGTGATAGTGATAAGTGATCATAATCAATAAATGCCAAATATAATAAGATGATACATTTCATAGTCCTACCTGATACAAAATGGATGTTCTACAAATACAGTATTATTCTTTCTGATATTCTCAAGTTCCATTTTGTTTTTCACCTGGTTGACTATTACATTGCACAATAATTAGTTCACAAAGATGGCCAATCTCAAATATAAGTAACAATTTCAAATTTTATCTGAAGTATGAACTAACACTACTATAGTTCCTGACATAAACAAACCTTGCAATCTTCATCTATCAAAATCATCCATATATGCTTATCTAGATAGAATGGATCCCCTTGCAACTAATAATTTTATATAAGTTAAATTTTCTATGAAGATTTGCCACTGCAAATTTTGGTGCAGTACAAATTACAGAAGGAAAACTATCATTAAATAGGAAATCAAAGAAGTAATTGATGTGTGTCTGTGTGTCTAAATCCAAGGGTCAATCAGATTTTGTTTGGTAGTAGAGACTTCAAAAAGAAAAGGAAACAATGGGAAATTTCACTTTTGTTCACCCCACAAGAATACTTTCATTTATCATAATTCATGCAGTTGTGCAAAATCCTCAAAACTGAAGTGCCCATAATTTGTAGTAGTTGTAAAGAAAAAACTTTTTTTTACTTTGATGATACAGATGTCAGATACTAATAAGATACAGATGTAATGTAATAATAATGTAGCTAATAATAAGATCGTTCATTAAGACTCAGAATACTATATCAACAGGAAATTTTAGAGCATTCCCCGTTGCACTACTTAGGAGCACTTAACATGGGATAAATTATTTTTAATTAATTAATTAATTAAAGCTTATGTCCCACCCTATCCCACAAGTGGGTTCAGGGCGGCTCACAACATATAAAAAATAAAATAAAAATAAACATATAATCAAAGCCAGATTTAAAACAGTCAGAATAAGATGGCATCTAAAACAGAGACAACAACTCCAGAGCAGTCCATAGTACCTCCTGTAGGATGTTAGTCAGATTATAAGTTTTTGTGAGCAGAACAATTTTGATATATTCTGCATCAGTCAATCTAATCTTGACTTGAACTTTAGTATTGGTCTTGAGTTGGAACCTGCAGAAAATTTCTGCTAATCAAAATTTCACCACTACCACCCCACAAACATTAAAACCCACCTCCATGTGGTTACCGGGGTATTCCTCTGTCATGGACGCACTTTGAGCAGCAGCGGGAGGTTGAGACAAGGAAGTCTCACTCCACTGGAGGATCTCCCTTCCAGCAGAAGAGATTTCCCACAGGTTCCAGGCCATAATCAGATAGATAGGAGACAGGAAAATACACTCTGTAAATAAACGCCTCTACTGTTGATATTCCTGTTTGGGCTATTTTTTTAATTTAACCTGATGTTGGTAATATGGTTGACACTATCTTTCTGATAGTTCCAGAGAATTAGGTTCCACATGCTCTGAATGTGTCAGGATTAGCCTCTCGTTTTGTTCTCCCATAGTCAATAACAGCATACGTGCATCCAGCCCTGTAAAAATCCACATCTCTGGGATGGCGTAAAAGGTCCTTTGGGGCGGTTGACATTCTTCTCTGCTTTTAGCCCCATATTTAGTCCCAGAGAATTTGCATGTGTTCCATTCCATTTGACATATGTGCTGAGAGAGTTCAAAATGAGCGTTGCCAGAATGGGAAGCCAGCCCAGAAGATCCTGCAGTAGGGACCAATTTGATCTATCGGCTCTGGCCAGAAATCCATGTCCAGAGGATACATACCACAAACCAAGGGGGGGGGGGGTGCAGCGTAGGATTGCCGAGTAGCATCTCTGCGTTTAGCATAGTTAGGGGATGAAGCTGGAAAATATTAGGGCTAACTGTTTCTGTAAGGAATTATCATGGGTGAGCAGCCCAGCCACGGACTACATCTAGCACTGCTTATTTCTGAATGAAATGTGTCTCCCTGTAAAAATACAGTGAAATGAGGCCAGCTGTCCTAGCCAAAATACTCTTTGCCCAGGTTTAATGGACGCCAATAAGTGTTGCTGCATGCCTCCTAATTCGTATCAAGATGAAAGGCAGTGAATTTATGGCAGTTATTTCCACTGCGTTTTGCTTGTTATTGCGAGAAGGGCTATTTAAAAGAAAGGACCTTCCCCCCCACCCCCCCAGAGAATCACCTCTTCAAATGAAAGTTAAAAGTAATTTTGTTTTGAGCAGTGTATTATTAAAGGCTAGAAGTGAGTCACTGGCATTTATAGATTTAAAAGACCCTCAAAATGTTAGCTTGAAAAATAGTCTGTCACTGGACTCTGAAGGTAGGAAGATGCTTTTGCAGAACCCGACTTCTCCGTTTCTCCAATAAAATGAGCACAAGCCAGGCGCTGCGCAGTTTCTAAACAACAGTTGCAAAAGGAAATCTAGCTTGCCCTCAGGTGATGTAAGATGTACCTCTGGGATACATAGAAATCTGAATATCTGGGTCTGCACAAAGTGATTCCATGCACAAACATATACCATGTCATGTTTAAACAATACTGCTTTTAATGAAGAAATCTGGCTCTATTAAAAGCCAGATCTGTGACTTGCAACTATTCCTGTATATCTGCTCTCAATCAAAGGAGAGGAGGTTTTTCCTCCCCCTCTCTTTGGTAGCTTTCTGTGCTTTGCATATGTTAAACTGATGCAACATGGACCCAGGGCATTACTTCAGAGAGAGTTGTTCCATAAATATGAACTTCCCTCTTATATGCCAGATGTAGCTGAGGGAATGACTTGGGGGGGGGGGCGGGTTCTAGAAGTATCAGTGTGCACACAGGACTTGATGGAAATATCTGACCCCTGAATTTGGCTTTCTAAAACAAAAACACACACACAAAAAAAGCTTTTCCCCTCTGCTTTCTACAAGCGTGTTTGCTTTGATTACCAAATGTTGATTATGCAG